CATATTTTCCCTTTTACCTGTAGTGCTGTTTATCAACCTAGATTGTTTCAGTGTTAGTTTTGAAGATATCAGCCAGAGATGTCCGTCTTCTCTCTAATATAATGGAATAGATGACATTTAGCTTATGGTGCTCAACGCGCCCAAAAATACTTTTGAATGTTCTTTGCAGAAATCATGACAGAAATCATAAACATTAATGGTGTCCTCCTCAGCTGAGCTGTAACGTTAGCTAGCTCAGTGGTGCAGTGACACAGCTGTTTGAGAGAAGGCAGACATCACCACGCAGAAGGAAGAGTGCATCTACTGCCAGCTTTCCTAGCACCACTGAGCTAGCTAACCTTACATCTCAGCCAAAGAGGATGCCAGTAATCACATCATTATCTAACACTGTCACAAGCATGAGCCCCTCATCCATGAGTAGATGCATGCTTCTTCTGCATGGTAATCTGGTTGGTGGGTGTAGTGTGGTAGAAAGAAAATAGTTGGTGCCATACAGATTGGTTTGAGTTGCTCAGAAACTGCTGATGTACTTGGTTTTTCAGGTACAATCATCTCTAGGGTTTAGAACGATCCAAAAAAAGGAGAAAATAACCAGTGAACAGTAGTTCTCTGGGCAGAAATGCCTTGTTGAAGGTCAAAGGTCAGAAGGAGAATGGCCAAACTGGTTTGCATTGATGGAAAGGTTACAGTGACTCAAATAACCAATTGTTACAACTGAAGTATGCAGAAAACATACATACTGTGAGCATCTCTGAATACACATTTCGAACCTTGAAGCAGATGAGCGACAGCAGCAGAAGACCAAACCAGGTGCCACTCCTGTCAGCTAGAAAACAGGAAACTGAGGCTATAGTTGGCATGGGCTACCCAAATTAGACAATAGAAGATTAGAAAAACATGGGCTGGTCTAATGAGTCTTGGTTCCTGCTATTTAGAAGGTAGGGACAGAATGTACCATAAACATGAGAGCATTGATCAATTCTGCCTTGTACCAACACTTCAGGCTGATCGTGGTGTAATGGTGAGGGGGATATTTTCTTGGCACACTTTGAGTATTGCTGCTGACCGTGTCCATCCCTTTATGACCACAGTGTACCCATCTTCTGATGGCTACTTCCAGCAGGATAACGCACCATGTCACAAAGCTCAGATCATCTCAAACTGGTTTCTTGAACATGACAATGAGTTTACTGTACTCCAATGGCCTCCACAGTCACCAGATATCAATCCAATAGAGCACCTTTGGGATGTGGTGGAACGGGAAATTCACATCATGGATGTGCAGCCGACAAATCTGCAGCAACAGAGTGATGCTATCATGTCAATATGGACCAAAATCTCTGAGGAATGTTTCCAGCACCTTGTTGAATCTATGCCACAAAGAATTAAGGCAGTTCTGAAGACAAAAGCGGTCCAACCTGGAACTACCACTAATAAAATGAGTGTGTATCCTTTCCATTCCATCTAAAGTAAAGCAATATCAGAGTACTGGTGTGGTAACAACAGGGCTTAACAATCATACAACATGGGATTGGTTTTTTAGGTGCAATCGCAAAATAAACATTCTGTCCAATAGAAGAAAGACAAAACACATCTGGTGAGTCACAAAGTAAACACAAAGGGAATCAACATCTAGGTCAACCTTCAACTTTAAGCAGGCCAGACTAATCCGTGGTTGCGCATGTGCAAAGACAAAGATGAGGTAGTATTATAGTTCACAGATTTACTTAATGGAGAAGTACTGATGAGTAAGTTTACCTGTGATCCGCACCGGCTGACCTGGCAGATGGGGGGTGTAAAGGCTACAAGCTAGTATGGTTAAAACATTAAAACACCAAACACTTCAGACACTCCTAATAGCATCATCATTTACTTTTTCACTGCTGAGGGACTGTAAAAGAGATCTCTGTCTTCTAAGGTTGGAGCTTCAAATTACATTTCTTTTATCCCACAGGAGGAATTGTAAATGAACTCACCCAGTCTGTCGAGTCAGCAGGTGCACAACTGGAGACTGGACCGCCATTATTAAGATGAATGACCCCTGTGTTAGTAGTTTCACAGACCCTGCTCATGCTCGTGTTGTCTTGAGATGTGTATTTTATTTTTCCTCTTCTTTTTATTTTAAGGCGTAGGGGTTTCTTTTGGCTCCATTCCTTAGCTTTTAGCACATGTAAAGGGTATATATAACCTGACATGTAAACTGACAGACAAAAAATAAGTTAGAAGTAAGAAGCCTTTTGCAGTCTTACTAGAGCATGTTTAAAACAAATTAAAGAAAATGAATTAAGACTCATATTGTGATCATATATTGTGAAAAAATTGTCTTTAATGCTTACAATCAACAAAAATGTAAAAAAAAGAAAAAATGGCAGAAATAATGAAACAAAATATAAGGACACAATAAAAAACAAGCTATCTAACTCAATATATATATTCTCATAATCAACAGTAATTATATGCATTAGCTAATGATACATTGTTAATGACAACTAGTGTAGAACAGAGTAAAACAAAGTACGATCAAGTTTGAGTTACTCTCCACTCACGCTGTCCAAATTATACGGAACTTTTCCAGACCCTAATAGTGAGTCAAAGGGTTTCATGAATGTTTGTGACCTTTAGTGTTTATCTATAATAATGTTATGTAACAAGAAGTGGGTGTAAAGTCAGACAGGTGGGATATCCAGACATGTCAAATGTTGCCGGGGCACACCACTGGCAGATAGAATAAAGGTTAACAGGCTGCGATGAAGCCTGTTAATGAAACAGTTCTTTAGCATGGAGAAAGAAAACCTGAACCCAGCCTCTACAGTTTCTCAAATCTGATTAAGAATCTCTTACAGGAATGGTTCCACATTTTGGCAAATACATTACATATTTAGATGAGATGACTGATACCACTCTCATGTCTGCAGTTTACATGTGAAGCTACTTCCAGCAGCTAGGTAGCTTAGCTTGGTACAAAGACTGGAAACAGGGGGATGCAGGTAGGTTGACTGTCCAAAGCCTAAAATCTGCAAATCACCACCCCTAAAGCTTATTAACTGACACTTTATATCTCATTTGTTTAATACAAAGTCTTTGCTGGTTGCAAGATAACCTCACTAAGATGACAAGACTCCAAGACGTCACTGGTCCTGGCCAAGAAATAGTCTTATAACCCTCTGAAACTACAATGTGTTTTATAGACCAAGCTGCAGCCTTTGGGACTGGAAAGTGAAGCCTACGTGAAGTACCAAAAACTGTAGTTCATCAGCCACTTGAGGCTGGCTCCAGGACTGAGTCTATTCCCATAGACCTCAATGTTAAAATGCCCAATGTAAACATGTTTACAGCTTGCTGCAAAAACCAGTTTTGGTCTCCATAGCCAATTTCTCCATTCATGACAACTGTACAGGAGGTGAATTTTGTTAAAAACCTACCAATTTAAATGTTATAAAGGCTTAAAGTTATACATGACTAAGGGTATGGCTGCTTTGAGTGACAGTTGGGCGCCATCTGTTGACAAGACGCTACCATGGCAACACCACTTGTTAGGTAATAACCATGGCATTTTGGTAAGAAATTACCATATTTGGACGAGACGGTAAAGCTAACCCTAGCGCTGGCTGCTATTTAGCACGTTGTATTTACAGCTATGGTTAACTGTGATAATGCTAATGCTAATTTTCACTCACAAAAAAACAGGCTCAAAAACACCAAAACAAAATGTATTTAACAGAAAAATAGAACATCCAAGTCATTAAAAGGTTCTTTTAATACAACCAAACTAGTGTTGCACGGTACACTGGTACCAACGGTACTAAAACACCACGATACACATGATACCATAATGTTGGAGTACCGTAGTAACCAATTTCCTCTTCGTTGGTGTCATGACTGCCCAGAAATACCCGAACAGCCGAGGCGTGGTGGCACACAGGTATGTGACGTGTCAGAGGAGAGACGAGTTGTTCAAATTTCTCTCTTTGTGGCAGGTAATGGTCCACAAACCTCACTGCACTTAAGGGACTGTTCTTAACTTATCAGAGGAAGAGGGTGACTGGTTGATTTTTATTATATTTTTTTATTTTATTTTGATCCCCCTTATGTTAATCACTTATTGATGCTGTTTTTGAAGTATGAATAAGTCAGTAAGTAATTTATTCTATTGAAATATCATTGATGTATTATAGAAAAGTGATTTATCTTTTTATAAATGACAAAAGGCACATCCGCCTCATTTTTGCTGTGGTATCGTGATACTACTCGTAACCGTGATACTTTCACTGGTATCGCACCGTGGGTCCCAATTTTGGCACCGTGACAACACTAAACCAAACACTATCTGAGCCTGGTCCTTGAATGCACCTGTATTTCATTGTGTGTTTATACAATGACAATAAAGAAATCTGAATCTAAATAACATAACCGCAGACTGACAGAGTATGGCCATAGCCATGGCTATTTCAGTCTGTTTTCAGTTCATGAAAGTTAACTGCTGTTAAACATTGTGATTACCCAAAAAAGTATTTTTCTGTATTTAGTTGTACTAAAAAACCCTCTAAGGACTTGGACGTTCTATTTTTCTGTTAAATGCATTTTGTTTTAATGTTTTGAGCCTTTTTTATGCTAGTGAAAATTAGCATTAGCAACATTACAGTTAACCATAGTTGTAAATGCAACATGCTATCTATGCTAGCAGCCAGAATTTGGGTTAGCTCCACCCTCTCATACAAATATGGTCATTTATGACTCCAAAAATCCAAGATGGTAATGGCCAAAATGCCAAACTCAAGGCTTCAAAACTGAAGTCCACAAACAATTAGGGCTGTAGTCTCCTGGTCGATTATTTGGTCGCTATGCTCTCATCAGACCAAACTGACCTGCTGGCACTCGCTTCATGTGTTTCCCTAACGGAGACATGAATGTGACATTGATCTTCACATCTAATTCTGGACCAAATGTACCTATATTTGGCCTTAGAGCAGTGCAGGTTTGTTGGTCGCAAACTACAAAAACAGGTGCACCTGACAAAAATGGGACTGTGCCTGGGCCTCAGCCTATAACAGCTTTTCATGTAAATGAAAATAGTGAACAAAGACACACTGTCAGGTATCATTGGTTGTCCAATCTTTTGCTTTCGAAAACTACTTTTATCCTTCTTGGACAACTTGTGCTGCTTTGAGTGAATCAGCCTACAGCAGTCACAGAGTCCATCAACACTGAATCTGTCACAGCAGAATAAAGCAAAGCACATTACTTCTTCTGCTCTGCAGCCAAACAGTAGGTACCATCTACCTGATAATTTGTTGAGGAGGCCTTTCTTGCAACAGTCAAATCTATGACAGTCCTAATCATACCAGCTGTAGTCTTACAAACTACTGTATTTACTTTCTATTTACCCCTATAGGAAATGTGATCCGATCTCCTCTGTGTGTATTTAAGTTGGTTCATGTACTTGGCAAATTTAAGCTTTACACTAATGTTATTTTTTTTTTACTGAACTTATCTCACAAACTCCCACTCTCACTGACAAAACATGAACATGTTACAAAGATGCTACCACATCTGAAACCATAAACACTTTAGTTGTCTTGTGCTAATATGTAAAACTATACTAAACTATACACTGTACATATATTGTATACATGTTTGCCAAACTGTCACTAAATCACTTCAAAGCTGTAGGATGAGAGAGCACTATCATTACCTGACCTAATGCTATTCAAGTATAAATGGTGGACACAAACTAAACAGCCAAACGTTCTCCAAATATGACATTTTTCATTTTCTTGACTGTTTTGAAGTAGAGCTAAAATTACCTCTAAGTTTATGCATTTATTTGGGAAGATGTTGAATGCCCGTTGTTTAATGTAAATTCATTGTTCATAGTAAAACTACTCTCAAGTCAGAATCTTTGACCTTTGAACTGAACAAATAGCAGTAAATGTTTTCCGCATGGTATCTATGTAAAAAAACAAAAACAAAAAGTGTACTGCTTGAAGACCAAAGAGCGCGGACACTGTACCATTCCCTCATTTGGTCCAGTATGGATGCATCACAGTACTTATGCAGTAGAAAATCTGTCAGTGACCTGCTTTACTCAGCGGCGTTGCCCTCCTCAAACACTCCCTCCTTTAAATTGTGCTTTCATTGTCCCCGTCTTCTTTGTTTTTAGCAATGTTGATGTTGGCGTGTCCATTGCCAGCTGTGTCACCCTGCAGTCCATTTTCTTTGGCCTGATTCCTCAGCGCTAACTTCTTCTGTCTCTTGACAAGTTTGTAGTACAGGCCTCCCCAGAGCATGTTGGATAGGCAGTAGAGTCCAGTGATCAAACCCAAGAATGTCATTCTGAAAGTGAAGTACATGGGAACAGATTAAGTTTATTTTTTCACTTCATAATGTGGTTTGCACTTTGTCTTCAAGTTTTTGATGTTTCAAGTAGAGCACTTAGAATTGTCTCTTTGATTTGTATAATGTGCTAGAAACATTAAAGTATTCATTGTTGAATTTCTCTTGTTATAGTAGTGGTACAACAAGTGTGTTAGTTAAAGGTATACTATGCAGGATTTTCCTAAAACAAACAAACAGAAAAACAAAACAAAACAATATATAGACTCCTAGAGAAGTAATATAATAAATAAATAAAAAAAGGATCAACCAGGTGCCAAACTGTAAGCAACAGGTATTCAAGAAATACAGCACCGAAAAACTAGAGTTGTTCTGATACCAAGACCAGTACCGGAAATGCCTCCAATACAATCTAAAATGTTGGGTCAGGTATCAGCAAGTACCGATCCAACACCACCTATTTTATTAATAAACTTTACAGTAGTTTTGCACCTGGGTAAAACAGCAGTTTTCAGAGAAATTAATTCTTTGCCACTCCAAAACAGTAGCCTAAAGAGCAAGCTGTGCAGCTTTTTTTTTAAATCAATATCTAACCAGATAAGTCCCGTTAAGATCAACAATCTCTTTTACAAGGAAGACCTGACCAAGACAGCAGCACACAAAAAGTTACAGCCAAACAACCACACAATAAAAACATGAAAGATACACAGTGACATGTAAAAATATTAGAACACTTATGCACAATGGCAAGACCCAACCGACTCATTCATCCTTGTCCTTATGAGAGCTTTAAAATCAGGCAGAGAGACCAGATAAGGTACTTAGAAATCTTTTTGAAAGTTATTCCAAGTGAGACGAGCAGAGCACATAAAAGCTTTCTTTTCCAGCTCAGTCCTAGCACTAGGAACAGACAACAAAACTAAATCTTGAGATCTCAGACTATAGCTACAGTCAGATCTTTGTTCAATCAAAGTACAAATGTATGAAGGGAGTTTATCCAGTATGGCTTTATAGATGAACAAATGCCAGTGACTGAGCCTATGAAATGTCAAAGATGGCCACCCAGCCCTGGAATAAAGCGTACAGTGATGAGTGAACAAGTCTTAGTGCACTATGATATGCAGTATGTAACATGTGCAACAATGTGCAGATGCATTCATGTACAACAGATCACCATAATCCAGAACCGGTAAAAACGTAGCAGCAACCAATCTTTTCCAAACCTCAAAGGAGAAACAGGACTTTAGCATGAAGAAAGACCCTAACTTCAGCCACAGCTTTTTAATGTTATCAACCTGAGGTTTAAATGACAGGGAGTCATCAAGCCGAATACTAAGATATTTCTAACCTCTAACTTCTTTCCCTGAGCAGTAAGAGCATCAGGAGTGTTCACAGGCTTCTTCCTAGCATTACAAAAATGCATAACCTTAGTTTAGTTGTGAAAGCTGAATTTGGATAACGTTAAAGACAGCTTGCAATTGGGCCACAGCCTCTGTGATGGATGAGCCAGCACAATATATCACAGTGTCGTCGGCATAAAAATGAAAATATGTACCGACCGCATTTCAACCAAGACTATTAAGCTACTGGTAACTACTGTTTGAGAGCAGCAAAGAAGAAACGATTTCCGGCCAAAAGTGTAACAAAATGTCAAACTAGATCATAAAAAAAAAACATTCTGTGACATTCATTCTCTGTATGTATTTGTTCATGTTTTACAAAGGGTTTAACTTGAGCCATGCCATACAACAATTATAGCTATCATTTCACACCCATACAGGGTTAGTAGTATAAAGCTATTTTGTTTTGTTTTTTAAATGCAATGGTATCAGCTGAGTTTAGGAATAGGAATTGGTCATTGGAAGGAAAAAAAGTGTCATCTTTCGAAAAAAAGCAAAAAACAAAAAAAGGCAAAACACACCATTTGCGAGGGTGTTTACAAACAGTAACTGACAATCCCACATAGTATACCTTTAAAATTAGATGTAACTAAAACCATACATAGCAATGTCAAATAATACCTTAAGTAAAAACTGACTTTAACTTTGAGAAATAATTTTTAAATCTAGATATCATTTTTAAATGATTAACACGTATCTTTTTCAGGAATATTATGAGCATGATACTCTAGCAATAAAATGAGAGTCTGGTTTCATTGTACCTAAATGCATCAGCATCATAAAGTCTGCATGCTCCACGGCCTCCACAATGCTTGGTACCCCACTTCAAACAGGTTCGGTCAATCAGAGCACCGAAATATATAGGAGGAGGTATTCCACCTGAAAACACACAAGGTCAGATGTGCTAATTTAAGTCATCATTGATCTCAATATAAGAATAATTCTGTAACCTACATAATACCTTTAACATTTGTTTTCATAACTCACCAAGAGTTCTTACTATCAGTGTCTGCATACCCAAAGCCAGCGACTTCAGGTCTGGCTGTATGGACCTGGAAGATTATCACCAACATTATCACATCAGACCTTGATATCAGCTTTGTAGCTTAAAGACAACACAAAATGTAATATTACAGAGGCAGCTCACACAAAGTCACACAAAATCAGGGCATATCCCAGAAAACCACTGTGAGGCATCATTATACCCATAAAAGATGCGAGCTGAGCTCTTTTAGCTTTAGCATCTCTGACCTGAGCAGCACGATGTATCCTGGCGTGCCCCCACAGGCAGAAATAAAAGACCCCACCACAGACAAGGCCATGTAGATTTTAAATATGTGTTCACAGTTGCTCCTCCTGGGGCACTGGCCCAGCACCGCGGACATGTTCATGCCTGGAGTCATCACCTCCCCAGCGCAGGTGCAGTTATGAAACACCTAAAGAACCAGAAGTCAAATGTGATTGATTACCTAATCCACCAGTTTTATCTATGTCTGGGAGGAAATAAAAGTTACAGTCTTACTATTTCCTTGCCCATTCCAGTGGAGGACTGGCAGCCAGCCAGGCAGGGCGAGGCATACGTCACACCATTGTAGGCACATACTGGGTCCCAATGCTTCAGTGAGCAAGAGCAGCCCATGTTGCACTCCGACACCAAGGTCTGTTGGTTGTAGGACACTTGAGAAGCCCTGGTGCACACAGACATGAATAGAGTTGCATGAGTAGACGATGGTGGACATGTTTGGCATACGTGAGTTTCTATGGAGATTCTTGATGGACTCCAAAACATTTCAATTACAATCTTTGACATATAAGCTTATTAAGCATGTGTTTTTTACATGTGAACCCATTTAGGGGAAAATATGTAATCAAAACAAACAAAAACGCAGATTGAGTGATAGGAAACTTTGCAGTGCATTCATCCCTTTACCAACACCACCAACCACTAACTTTAATGTAAATGGATGGTTTGCATGGCACTCACCCCTGATATGAGACAGTGAGACCTGCTACCTCTGCCTTGTCACAGTAGATGAAGATCTGCATGGAGAGCAGGCACAAGGACCCGAGGGAGGCAGCAATGGACATCCTGGCTGCTCCGATGACACCCAGCTTGAAACGCTTCAGAACAAAACCTCCAGTGATGATACCCAAAGCTACTGCTGGCAGGTTGAGTATACCTGGATGGATAAATGGATGGATGCAAGAACAGACAGTCATTACACTAGATATCTTTAAAATGAAAAGTCCTACTGATCACAATATGCCACAATGTTAGTTGTTGTGTTCATTCATTTTTTTGAGCTAACTAGTTAAAAGTGTGTTACAGCAATGGATGAATTAAGAGACCTGGATACAGCGTTGGCTGCAGGACCCCGTTCATCCCCATGAAAGTTGATCAGTGGAACAGGAAGCCGAATAAGCAACAATATATAATGGGGATAAAATGTTGGAATCTTGCCACTCTTCTAGATTTTCCAAACGTTATTGGACTGGTATCGTGTGAAAGACCCTGGAAATTGCACTACCACTGTTTGGCCACTAAAAAAATGGCTTCAAAGCCAAGCCCCCAGGAATGGCACAAGGCTTTGAAGACAATTTTCGCAGTGGCCAAAAGTGGAATTACACCATCACATGATGCCATTGGGCCCATAAAGACTTTTTCCCATTGACTAATGGCGCATTCCAGGCAACCTGTAACTCATGTTTTTACAATCTTCTACCAGTGAAAGTGCACTGGAACGGCAGTCAAACCCGTAATTTACCACCCATGAACTCGTACCAGATCGATGTACTCCCAGTTACGCTTTCTGATGTCACACAGCCCTCTAAACCAATTACCTTATTCCTCTAAACAACAATGGCAGCCCTATGGATGTGGTGTTGATGCAGGTGATACACAGTGAGAAATAGACATAAAATATCCCTAATGTTAACGCATTATTGGCAGCCCCTCTAACAGCTAGTTTCCAGTGCAAGAATAAATCAATACAAAATACGTGTCCAAACACACAGATAACGTAAAATAAAAACTATAATAGCATCTGTGACCTTATACGTTGTTTCTCCTCCTCCCTTTCGCTCAAATGAGCAAGGAACCGGCCCCTTTGGTGACAGAAGTGATCATAAACAAACATAAACCCCGCACGGTCCGCCATGTTGCTTTGAGAGTTTGGCGTGACTTGCCTGGAACACTATGAAGTCGTGAGGCATGACTTGAAGTGGTGACTTACGGGCTCAGAAACTCGCCTGGAACGCAGCATTACACTGTGAAAGAGACGTCTGTAAAACAGTGGATACATTTTTTGAACGTCAAAACCCCTGGGAAATGACTCATTTCACTATACGGATTTAATCCATTCGGTCCGATAACATTTTTAAAGTCTTGAAGAACAGCACGATTAAATATTTGTATCCCCATTCAAATTAGTGGAGCACTAAACTAGAAGAGAGCCGTTCGGTGGGCAGACGTTGGTTGTTCGGCCACACTCAACCATTGTAAGTCTCTAGTGTGCATGTGCTATGGTCCAGATAATTTCATACTGCGAAAATAGAGCAATCTTGGCCTAATGTGCCACTGAGCGACTTTCACAGGAATGAACAAGGACCCGCCTCTAATGCTGTATCCAGGTCTCTTAATACATCCATGTTCAAAGCCTGGCTCCCTTCCTGGGGGCCTTGTTACAGCTAGCCCAATGTGAAGATGACATCACACTGTGTTAATTTTTTCGACAAAGGCGTCATCTTGTGAGGATCACACTGTGGTAGCAAAGCAACAGTATTAAGACAAACTACTAAAAATAACACGTGGACACTGTTAACTGTAAATCTTATTTTGGGACTGAGTGCATATGGGTTACTTATGGAGTAGAGCGTGTACTTCACAAAATGGTGCTACCACACAGTGTCCACAGTGTGATGTACCTTCACATTATCTATTTGCAGATTTAAACTTAATTCATGAATACAAAAATCCTTATATAAAGACAAATACTGTATGCATTTACATTAAAATGGTTTTGCTGAGCAGCCATTGCTGTTGTTCCAATGTTACCTTTCATAATTGTAGGTGATTGTAGAACAGTGACTTTACAATGTAAACATTAAAACAATAACGTTGCCAGGTAGCTGTGCTGGTAAACAGTCATAAAAAGCTAATCATAGCTCAGGATGCTACTTTACAGACATGCACAAAAGGAGAGCCTACAGTGGCCTACTTAGCGCTTACACTTGAAGTCAACTTTATCTCTTACAGTCACACTTCCCTTCAATAACATCATTGTTTCAGTGGCCTTGGGCTCCAGGCTGCAGTAAAGCAAAGGCAGAGTGAATGGGGTCCGTTATTGCTCTGTACCTATGAGGAAAATGGCCTTGGAAGCTGACTGGCCGTAGATTTGCTCCAAGAACTTTGGCTTGAAGGTGATCATGCCAATGAAGCCATTGACAGCCACCAGGTACATCAGGACCATCAGTGAGAAGATGCTGTTCTTGAAGAGTCTCCTCAGAGATGGGATGAAATCTGGTGAGGAATTAAGAGAGATTAAACTAAAGTAGAGTGATTGAGAAGCACAATGGCTACAAAATGGCAGCCATTTTGGAAATATCTGTTTATTTGAAATGTGATGTTGAAAAACTTTATCTATTCTGTACACATTCACAATGCAAATGTTTTTACACATTGTATATGTGTGTATACTCACATATACACACATATTCTTTTTGTTACCTGTCTATTATTTTGAATTCTTATCTATTTACATTGCCTTTTCTGTTCTCTTCTGCTGCTCTTACAAAAGTGAACACTGTTATGATATAAAGTTGCGTAATGTACGATGGCATGACTGGTCCTTAGCTTATATAACTGTTTTCTCCGTCCTGGAGTGTCATTCAACTTTTACCAAGATCAGTAAACCTTTCAGGATTCAGGGTCACCGCTCTGAGCTGGTTTGTCTAGGTTATACCTGGTTAATGATTGTACACATCAATCCTATCCTGCTATTTTCACAGTTACCCATTTCTTGGTGTTTAAAAGTCATAGCAATATTTTAGGGCATGCATTGCTCTGCTGTTCATGGATAAAGTTGTGGAACATAAAATAAAATCACACATCAAGATTCCCTGAGTGATATGTGATGACCTGTCAACATCACATTCACAGTTCTCTGTAGTGTTTTGTACAGATGCAAAAGCTTGGACTGTACCTTTAGCCAGCTCTTGGAATGTAACCGGCTTCTCCTTCTCCTCATGCTCCTGGTTTTCGTCTGGCAGGAAATTCTCCTGCTCTGTCACTGTGGCGAGCTCTGTGGCTTTACTCTGGCTCTGCTCTTCACCCTGCTTGGGCAAAGACTTGGGCAGGAACCAGAATGGGATACTGGACAACAGGACCACCGTGCCAGTCACTATGAAGCCCAGCCACCAGGCCCCCACCCAGCGGGAGTCCCTGTGGTTGATGGTGATAGTGTCTGGGAGAGGAGGACGAGCAGAGACGGCAGATTATGAAGTGTTTATAGGACCTTATCTGATAGCCCTTAACCCAGTGGTTCCCAAGTGATGGGTCAGGGTCCAAAAGTGGGTCGCAAGTCCATTCTGAATGGACTGCAGGTGACTCACAAACGTGTCAAGTTTGTAAAAACACACTTAATTTTTAAGCTCAGTGAATTTCCAGCACAGAGCTTTTATTTTTAAGAACGGTGTCCTGCTGTAGAGTGAGTGACAAACAGACATCTACTTGACAGAGACAGCAAACTAGCTCAATGACATGGCCAAACCCAAGGATGACGCTGAATATATAACACTGTGTGGACCTTGAACTAATGAGAAAGAAACTAAGGAGAAATTTGTACACCAGGTCTGCACCAGTTGGGAACCACTATCTTAACAGCTTAAACATAAGCAGAAGGATGTCAGGGTCTGTCAACAGCTCTAATCCAGGGAGTAAATAGTGAACTAGTGATACCATGTAAATAGGATGAAATCTATTGTCTCTAGAAGATTTGTAATCACCTAATGACAAACTGTCTTGCTCTTTAACTATGACCTGTCCCTGTAGGTTAGGGAGGAAGAGTAATTGTTCTGCTGAAGGGCACTTTGCTGCCAGATTTTGACAGATGGATTATGTGTAATAGGTCTGCACACAGAAAATTACTCAATATTTGTCTTACCAATACAGGGTAACACTGATAAAGGAATTCTTCGCCCACAAAATAACCATTGGTATTTTAATTACTCACCCTGTGTTACAGTGTATGTATCCATTTGTAACCCCAGGTGCCCAACCTAACACACTGACAGACTGACACTGACCGGAAGTCATTCATTCCAATGGAGGCGAAAATGACGGATAGTAACGGACTAGCGCGCAGCACAGCAGCGGTTCCGCGGAAGTAGTAAATAAATTGCAATCGCAGTTGTAAACAAACAATATCTCATTTATTTCTGCAAAAGAAAAATAAGCATAAGCGTTTTTTTCTACTATTAAAAGTGATTGTTGACCATAGGTTGATTTCTATGCGGTTGATAATTAATCTATATTTTCGAATTTTGCGCTCATTTCCATTTTGCACCTATATATCAGCTCTTTCAATAGCACACTACTCAACTCGTCTCAGTTCAGTTGGTACAGTGACAGTCAACATGAGAGATCTTCACAGGAAGATACTGCTAGCTCTTCTGCTAGATGACTTCGCTAACAGCTCTCGCCGACAGCACGCTAGCTAGCATCTGGCTAGGTCCGTCAATGACGGGACCTCGCAGCGTTGTTCTCAGAGTGGGGAATGCATTGGGGAGACGCTCCGTTAAAACAGGAAAAATAGGTTGTGCACCCGGCGTGAGACTGTTTATGTGTAATTTTTTCATACTCTAAGGTTTTAGTGAAAATGTATGTTTTGAAAGTACTGGTGGTGTGGTCTATGTGCTAAGCAGATATACGCCGTTAACCCACTAAGAAAACTTTAGAATTTCTGTATACCCGCTTAAAATTGCACAAGGATATGCAGCAACATACTTTTGTGACAGAACTTTCACTTCAGCCGTTTGTTTTTGCAAATATGGGGTCAAGAGATGTGACAGCAAGCTGAACAAATACCGCAGGACATGCAGGGAGACTCTTGTTTTTCCTCATCCCCACCCCACAAAGCTCAGTGTGTAGTGTGTTATTGTTGAGCCAGAGAGTAAGAGACTTAGGTGGCTGCAGTGAGAGCAGACAGCTGCTGGCGATCAGAGCAGAGAGGAAATTAGCTGTAAAATTCTCAAGTAAATGTACAATGCAGGTTTTCATGTTGAGGGGGGGTAGGAAGTGGGGAGAGAGAAGTCATCACAGTACTACAATAAACTAGACTACACCCCTGGAAAGTACTGAGCACATCACTGAATAAATAAGACTTGGATTATAGGACTATGGATTATATATCTCTGTTTTTGGATTCTTCGTTGGCTGTGGAGGCATGCAAGAAAAACAATGTTTTCTTTAACAAAAATGGTCTTTTTTTGGTGAAGTATTCCTTTAATGGGCAGAAACTACCCAATATAGAGTTTGCATGTTGTGCCACAGTAGCACATCTTGTCTTTTTTCCCTCTGATGTTGAGAAGTCTCCTACCTAAATCCACAGATCCGATATCCACGTAGATCTTAGCAAGGAAGGACCCGAGCATGAACCCAAACATAGGTCCTAAGATCCCCACTGTATGGATGCAGGCTGGGGAATGGAGAAACAGAGCAAGAATGGTTAATGTCATGTCAGTCAAGCATTATTCAAACTATGCAGGACAGCAACAAAACACCATTAACAGGACACTGTGTGACATTAGAATTCACATTTAGATTAAAATCATCAACCAAAACAGGAAAGAGTTTCAACCAACACTGGTGTAAAAAGTAACTAACCCAAATAGAAAGCCGTGTTCTCCTCTCTGGAGAAGTCATCCAGGTAGGACACACCCAGAGGCATGATGGGAGTCTCTCCAATTCCACGCAGCATGTTCCCCAAGAACACATAAATCCACAGGGACGAGCCAGCTGCCTTTTCACAAGCTGAGGGAGGAAAACTGGGCTCAGAATTTCAGAGGAATTTTTTATCTATGAATAATTGATTTGGCATTTTATCTGTTTAACATACCTGTTATGGCCTCTAAATCAGGCGTCTCATCGGCTTCAGCCAGGCTGTGGTTGGCCAAACAGGGCAGGGTGTTCTCAGTGCTGTTGGCACTTGTACTGTGAGACATACTGGTCTCATATTTATACCTGGAAAATATTTATAATGTTATGACACTGTCTTTTTCAAAATAACACATCTTTGTCTTCAATAGATTGAATAAATAGAAATTATTAGTGTTTATGCATAAAATGTAATGTATTTGAAATTTCTTTAGGGTAGGTAGATAGGCTCTTGATTGTAAACTTAAAAAAAACAGGCATGTAATATTTAGCCACATGCTAACATCAGGGAAACCTGTATTGTTTGTTGCTAATGTCGCTAATTTCTCCCCAGTTTCAAGTCATATTCCTGATGGAACATATCCGGTTTGGAAGATTTTTTTTAAATTATAGTTATATCATGAAAACATATTTTAGTGGTAAAAAAAAACAAGTATGAACCTAAAAATGAGCAAAATAAATCCCCTTTAAATCTCAAATCTCCTTAACAATCCCTCTGACTTTTTGGGTTTGAAGCAGGAGGTGATAACCGGCTTGTGGCTTCCAAGCGTTCATAGCAACGTCGCTTTTTGATCCTTCGATGTCGGCTCTTCCTATCATTGTGAAGCAGAATTCACCAAGCGTTGGATTGTTCACCCACTAATAGGGAACATGAGCTGGGTTTAGACCGTTGTGAGACAGGTTAGTTTTACCCCACTGATGATTTTAAATCTAAATATCTCCTGAACGACAACTTTCAAAATTGTCAATGAGATGCACATTCAAGGCTGGATTACCAAATGGGCAAAGCAGGTAACTGCCTCAGAGCCCCAGGGGCCATAAAAGCCTTGAAAGTTACTGTGTAACTTTGCCCTGATTAAGCACAAGGTCAACTTAGCAGGGTCATGGATTTCTTCTTAATCTTCTGACCCTGTCTTAAAGCAGGGGCCTAGGTCAAAATTTTGTTTTAACACTACAATCTAGTAAACCAATTTCCACACAGTCTGTGTCCTGTATACCTGACTTCAGCCTTAAACACTGAATAATGTGCTGTGTGCACTGAATTTGGAGGCAACACGGTGCCTGCACAGGTTGTATTACAGTAAGGCCTGAATGTGGGCTCAACAATAAATTTCTGCACAGATGCCTCAAACTGGTTAATCCTATGTACACCATTGAATAAGTAAATTAGCTGTAATTTCAGTGTATTATTCTTGCCTTTTCCAAGGCAGTCTAATATATTATACCCTGAATAACAGTAGCTCTCTATTCCTATTACGGTTCAATTAAACGCTGAATGTCTCTGCTTCCACAGCAGCTCTGCCTCCAAGAAGTGTATAATTTGATTCTAATTACTGATGTGTATCATTACTGCAGGGTACACCTTAACAAAGCCACAGTATGACATATACAGTGTTTGAATGTTGAGAAGATTAATGAAACAGTGTACTAACTGTCCCTGGAAGAAGTGAGGCAGGGCTATGAGGAAAGATCCAGCAGCCATGATCAGACAGCCAATACCGATCAGCCTGGGACGATGGAGCTTAGCGCCAAAGTAGCTCACAAAGGCTATCACCAACAGGTTGCCTGGGAGGGAGAGGAATTACAGATTATTAAGGAATGAATCACTGACTTCAATGCGTATTTGCTTTCTTGCACAGAGTTAGCAATTAGATAGATACCACTCTTATGTCTGCACATGGCCCCCAGGAAGTGCACTGGGCTTTGAAGGCAAATTTCATAGTGGCCAAATAGTGTAATTACACTGTCACGTCATGCAATGTGGCCTGTTAAGACTTTTTCCCATAGACTTGCATCGTGAAAGAGACATCTGTAAATCAAAGGATACATTTTTTTAATGTCACAACCCCTGCTAAATGACTCGTCTTGCTATCAAATTTTGATCCATTTGGTCCGATAACATTTGGAAAGTCTTAAGGAGCACATGATTGAATGATTTTATTCCCATTCAAGTTATTGTAGTGCTCAAATGGAAGTAGCCAGCTAATCTGGTGGAAGTCTCTTCTGTGCTTGTTCTATTGGTCACACAGTGCAAAAGCAGTGCTGTTAATCTGGGTAATTTTATACACAGCACCTGAACTTTTTTGGCTTCATGCGACACTCATAGGAATGAATAAAGCCCCACTTCCAACACTGTATCCAGTTCTCTGTATACATCCATGGTCTGTACACTAAATGTAAAGCTGAAAACAGAAGGCAGTATACAGTGGGAAACAACCACCCTGGCCCCTAACTAGCACCTCTAAAGCTCACTAACTAACATGTTATATCTGATTTGTTTAATCAATACAAAAGCCACGCAACCTCAAAGTGACGGCAAGACTCCAGAAAGTTACTTTCAAACCCATAAAACCACAATGACACTTTTTCACTTTGGTTTTCATATGGATTACCCAAACAAGATATAACATGTTACCATCCCCTGGTAGAAGCGATTAAGGGTACAGACATGACAGCATGGATGTATTAAGAGAACCAGATACAGCATTAGAGGCTGGGCTGGACTACCTGGGTGTAAAGTTACCCAGATCTTCCTCATCATTGGGTCCATAGTACAAGTGCGATAGAAACTTTGATGGCCTGGCAGCTAACTTGCAGTTTAGCATTTTGTTAACTTAAATGGGGATAAAGTGACTCAATTGTGCGGCTCTTGTAGACTTAAGAAATGTTACTGGACAGGATGGATCCAATTCCCATAGTAAAACATTTTGCGGGGGTTGTGGTGCTCAGAAAAACTATTCACTGATTAACAGATGTCTCTTTCACAATGTAAGCCTTTTGTGCCCCATGGCATCATGTGACTCAGACGTTGTAGTCTGACTGTTTGACAGCTATGCCAAATTGGTTTCAAGGCCTGGCGCTATGTAGGGGCTTGCATGAGAGTGGTATCGATTTTTTTCTTTTAAAATGGAGAATTGGTGCTTTTTCTCTACCACAAAAAACCTATATTGAGCTGTTTTTTTTTTTTTACTTTACCATCCAAAATCTTAAAAAAAAGGATGTATAAAAAGCTGCACATACCCATTTCAAAGCTGCCATCTATGACCCCTATGAGGGAGCTGGGGATATCAAAGCGCCTCTCAATCTGGGTGATGGAGCTCTTCATATAGGCTCCACAAAAGGCTTTGGAAAAGTATGCGAATGACATAGAGGCCAGGAAGAGCTGGAAACACACACAAGACGCATGTCTGATGAAAGTATTCTTCTCTAAAACAAGAAGGGGACATTTGATTTGATTAGGTTTAGTGAAAAGGGTGAAACTGAGTGGTAGCCTGTTGTAAAGTGATTACCTTTGTAATAATCTCTCCTCAAAGACTACCGAGTGAGAGGATTAATCTACTTTCTGCAGTTCCAGTAATGCAATAAAAGGTTTCTGAATGAGGCTAATTCTAACCCAAAGAATAAAGGATGTAATTGCACCTTGCAAAGATGTTAAAGAAAGAGTGAATGACTGCATTAACACACAGACTCCGCCCACGATGGATTAGGCTCTAACAAACAACACACAACACACATTTAAAGACCTGCAGTGCTTCACACCTCCTTTCACCATTGATTAGATTTAATTCTATTTAGATTATTGTTTTTAATGTAATCTTACGTAAAAACTTTTGAATTTTATCTTCATTTCCACGTCATGTTTGTGATAGACAGAGAAACGATGTTGGAATCACAGTATACAAGTTGTAACTCCTTATTGTGTCAGTTGAATTGATGAAAAGTTTTGGTTATAGGGATTAAAGGTAACAACGCTCAGTGGAATCTATAAATCTTTGCAAACTATTCTGAGTCATTTTTAGAGCTTGTTTGCGTGCAGCCATATCCTTGACATGAAGATAGTTAAAGATTAAAAGGGACTCAGACTGGGCTGTAGGTCATCAACCTGTTACGTGAACACAACTAAAATTTAATTTCCTACAGAGTTCAACATGCAAGAAATCAATATGATCAACCAAAAGTAATTGCTACTGAACTGATAATGTCCAATCTATTTATATGATTGGCCTGTTATCAGAAAGTATGTAATAAAGTGTTGCCATAAAACTAAACCAATAGACAACTGTCATGATATGAACCCTATTACTATGAGATGGGGTCAGGTTTTATCTGATCGAGAGAAAAAACAAGGCTTTTTTTTTTTGTTAATGCTTTGCCTTTTACTGCGTCACACACTGATTATACTAACACAGAAATGAAATACCAAGACAAATACGCAGAGATAAGGCTGAAGAAAAGCAGTTTTACAACTTGGCACTATCAAAGGTCTATCTGTGCTCAAAGGCATGGATTTAAGTGATTATGAACATTTATGAAGCAATGAGCGATATTCCCTGACACTTTGTAATACTGGGAAAAAGGGTAACATTTCACCGACCTTGAGCTTGGAACAGCAAGCCTCACGTGTCTTTTTGGACTCTACACTCATGATGCTGCTGTGTGTTCAGCTGATGAGAGGAAAAAGAAAAAACACAGCACCAAAAGGACCTGCAGAAAGAAACCAAGAATATGAGAACATCAGAGTTTAGGACAAATTTCATCTGATTTTTATCAAATTTTCCTTGAAATATCCAAAATGTAAGAATGAACTACTATCTGGTCACCAATTTCTTCAACTTTGCATTCAATAAAACAACTGGTTAATGATAGAGGTCATTGTCAGTGTGTGTAGCAGTGTCATTGTATAAGAAAACTGAGTCCTAAACCCCTGCATACACATTGAATAGGCTTAGAATTTGAAATTTGTTACCAAACTCATGTTGTTAGTTGTATTTTCATTCACAATGACAATTCACAAATTTACCTTAAAAAAAAAAGGTTAATTGTGCAGAAGACCTTAGCGCAGACTTAGAAGTAGTGAAAAAACAGAAAAAGAATTTACCTGAGAAGGAGCAGTGGTCCTTTGAAGGATGGGAAGGATGTGGTGAAGTAGCTGAGGGCTCACTGTATCTGGCAGGACTTTGTGCAAGAGCCTTATCACAAACAAACTATAACATCACCTGTAATCAGTAACCCAGCCACTCATGTGCACTTGTTGATCATGTCAATAAAAAGCCTCTCCAACCCCTCTGACTCTCGCACACATAGACACACATGCATAACACAAACCCAAATGTGACTGCTCTGGTTGGGTAAGGTCCAGTGAGATGTGTGTGTATCCAGTACCAGAAGGTTCAGAGGTTCAACGAGCGCAAACACACACACAAACACACACTCATGGTCTGTGCACACTCACACATCCTCCTCTGTGAACATCATAAGCCTCTAGAGTATCCATCCTTTTGAACACACAACAAACGGCAGCAGCGTGAAGCTGCCCCAAAGCTTATTTTATAAGCTGGCTGCTTCTGTTGGTTTGCTGTTTTCAAAGCGTGAAATGCTTTCCTCTTCAGGAGAAATTCTTTTGTAAGGCTGGGTGTTTCCTTGGACTGACCAAAGTCTTCCTGTCCTATTGATAGCTCCTAACAATGGCTTTCTCTCTGTCCTAATGGCTGAGTAATATACATAACATCCCCTGATCAGATTTGTTAGGTAGAGTGTATAAGACATTCAATATAATGCTCAGAACACGGGGTCTTCGTTTAGTTTAATTTTTCACTGTGTGTTACTGTAGATAACACACAGAACACACTGTCAGTAGTTTTTTAAGTAGTTTGAAAGAAAACTGTTGACACTTGTGGGATTATTCAGTGTAATGATAATATTGATTTTGGAAAGACAGCTTGTGGTCATTTTTAAACGGGATCACCACCTAAATTAAGAATTCCAATTTGTTTTTTCCATGGCCTTGGAAGGTTCAGTCAATATTTGTGAACGTGAGCTACTCTCTGTCAAAGCCAGAAACCAGAGAATTAAGAGTCGAACTTGTGATGCTGTCAAGCATTACATCTGGAGCTGCGCCATAGACAATGAATGGCAGGCTGATTTCGTGGACCCAAAGAATGTTTTCTTTTATATACTCAAATTATCTTTATTCGATTGTAATGTAATGTGTACCCATATACTCAAGACATTCCCCTGGGTTCTCTCAGTGTCACCTACAACAGTGGTTCCCAACTGGTCCAACCACGGGGTCCAGATTTCTCCTCAGTCATTTATTCAAGGTCCACACAGTTAAACACATAGATTTGAGTTTTAGCACTCTAGCTTTTGGATTTCAGAGAGAGTTGTTCATGTTTACTAATAATTTTAGACTGTCTTCGACCATTAGAGAAACAAGTATGAATTTTAAAATGGCCGTTGTTCTCCTTTAATGTCATTCTTTAATGCTATGAGCATCACCAGTATATTTCCTTTGTACTGGGATCTCAGACACATATACTGTACAGTATCTCACAACCTGGGCAAGTCAAATCTAGCTACAGCTAATGGCTACAAACCAGTATTGAGAAGCTTTGTTTTTTGTAATTTGCATGACACAGCCCTTTAACAGCTGGAATGTTGTTATTGGCAAGGAAATGGGTATGATCAAAGCTAGAGCAGTGTTGCAGCCTACAGGTGCTTACGGTGACCAAGTGTGAATAGAGAAGTAGTATGAAAAAAATACTCTGCGATGATCAATAATTTGTTTAACAGTTTTCCCAAATCAAAAAGTTAAAAAATTAACATCAGTAAAAAGTTCTGGATCTGGCCTCAGCCCCGGCCATCATTGTTTCTTGCGCTAGGCTTTGCTAATTACAAGCTTGACTGGTGAAAGAGCTTTGAACATCAAGAAGGCTAGCATTAGCGTTAGAGGCAACATCTGACAGATTCAGCCATACATGTTTGAGCCTCAGTCAGACTCAGACTTAGATAAGGAATCTGTTGTACACCAAATTAGTGACTAGCTGATGTATCAGAATTAGAAGTGAAGTTAGCATGTTTCATTTCTGTTGTTTGTTGGCTTGTAAGCTAACTACCAGTGGCTGATAAAGAGTTAGAGGCTGTGAAACATATCAAAATATCTGCTACAGTAGGATTTTTGGTAGATAGTGAAGAAAGCTCCAGAAGTGATACCCAGGTCAGGGTTCTTACAACCCGCACCAACCCGGCCAATTATGAGAACCAATCTGCCACGCCAGACTCGCACACATGCGTCAATCAACGACCTGAAACTGACTTGCAAACTCGCAAACTGGAGCTGAAATTTTCTGGTAATGAAGAACGTAAAAACACCTTTCTAGTTACAAACCTTGCACGGATACAAGTCAGTATAGTCAAGGTCAGACATTTTAAGGGACATAAACAGAAGAAAAACACATTTTTGAGTTGAGGGGGTCTTTACATTGGGGTAATACTACACCTAAAGAAGATACATACTACACACTTTGGTGATTACTAAATGACTCAGTTTATTTGATAGAAAGGAGATTACATATTTACTTTAAATAAGGATTTGGAAAGGATACATTCAAAATTATTTAATTTTGGCTCCAGTCTGTGCTGTCAAATCAAATTACTCTTACAGAAACAGAACTGTCGCAAACTACAGGTGTACCTCATGTATTCTGCAACACGTGGGTGCTGTTTCTTTTGTGTGCATGTTTGTTTCTGCTGTTTTTAATTGAAGGCTGTATAGAGGACTGATTATCAAGGAAAAAAGTTTCATCATTTTAAAGTTGCCATTTTATAAAGATACTATCAAATATAGAATCAAGTAATCTTTGACAATGTAATTATAGTAATAATAGTAATTAATGACAGTGACAGCTGGTGATATGCTTGTAGAAGTAGTGTCTGGTGGTGAGGTCAAAGCACTGCAGGGTCACTGGTCTCCTCTCTGAGCTCTGCTCTACACAGCATCTGCTCTTCTGCTCCACCTGCAGGTCACCGTGTAACACCACCCTGTTGTGGTGAGAGATAAAACCAGAAATAAAATTCAGTCAAATTCACAAAGAAACTTTACAATGTGGTGTGTGTGCATGTGTGTGTGTGTGTGTGTGTGTGTGTGTGTGTGTGTAACTATTGCCATCCTGACGGATATATTTCTTCTCACCTGGGCTGAGACACACATTGACCCTCACACACAGGCATCTGCATGACTGTGGTACAGTTCTCTATGGTAAACTTGATACCGGTTAGCCTTGGTGCACAGCTCTGGTTACCTGAAGACAGAGGAAAATAATACTGGAGGCAGTGTGATGAGTGGGAGCGAAACATCTACAAAATCTAAAGATGTTTTTGTCCCTTTATTAAGCATTAAATGCAGAGAAGTCCCATATTATTTAACTTCTAATAATTGTTGACACTTGGAAAAAAAAGATCCCACACTGTTCTTGCTCAGCATTATCCTTTATTTTTTGTACTAATACTAAAACAGTCCTAACTGTGTAAGGAGCCTGATCCTCTGTTTCTTGTTCACCCCTTTTTCTTTCTTTTTTATATGTGGAATATAATGTGACAGATGTCGCTGTCTATTACTGAGAAACACACCCACGGGTGATTGACCTACCTGCAGCTGAGATGGTTGGATGTGCAAATATCTCCTTTTCAATAAATTGTTGGAACTAAGATATCAAACTTCTACAAAATGAAATCTCTAAATGACATAAAAATTGTATTGATTATGACATAACTTACATGAAAAGCAGCAATGTTGGTCGTCCCAAATTCTGTCCTCCTGGTGAATAAATCAAAACAGCTCAAGGTTAAATGATAGGATTGTTTGCCCCCAAATAAAAAAATACATATTTTTACATACAAAATACATACTTATTTTCAGAATGTACCCCATACTGGAAAAATACTTTCTTTCCACCTCCAATAAATGTGAATGAAAACATCCATCCATCCATTTTTATCCACTTATCCAGGGCCGGGTCACAGGGGCAGCATGCCAAGCAAAGCTCCGCAGATGTCCCTCTCCCCAGCAACGCTTCCCAGCTCCTCCTGGGGGACCCCAAGGCGTTCCCAGGCCAGATGAGATAGATAATCCTCTGGTTCTGCCCCGGGGCCTCCTACCAGTGGTACATGCCTGAAACACCTCCAGCAGGAGACGCCCAGGGGGCATCCTGATCAGATGCCCAAACCACCTCAACTGGCTCCTTTTGACACGAAGGAACAGCGGCTCTACTCCAAGCTCCATCCGGATGTCCGAGCTCCTCACCCTATCTCTAAGGCTGAGCCTAGTCACCCCAAAGGAAAGCATTTTGGCCGCCTGTATCCGCAACCTCATTCTTTCGGTCACTACCCAGAGCTCATGACCATAGGTGAGGGTGGGGACGTAAATGGACCAGTAAATTGAAAGCTACACCCTCCAGCTCAGCTCTCTTTACCATGACGGTCCAGCACAGCGCCCCACATCACTGCAGAAGCCGCACCAGACCAATGATCCATCTCACACTCCATTCTACCCTCACTCGTGAACAAGATCCTGAGATACTTCAACTCTCTCACTTGAGGCAGTAACTCTCCCCCAACCCGGAGGGGACAATCCATTGTTTCCTGGCAGAGAACCATAGCCTCAGACTTGGAGGTGTTGACTCTCATCTGAATCACTTCACACTTGGCTGCAAACTGATCTCAGTGCATGCTGAAGGTCACAGTGCGATGAAGCCAACAGAAACACATCATCTGCAAAAAGCAGAGATGCAGTTCCAAACCAGACCCCTTCCTCCCCCTGACTGCACCTCAAGATCCTGTCCATGAATATCACAAACACGGTCGGTGACAAGGGACAACCCTGGCGGAGGTCAACACCAACCAAGACCGTGTTTGACTTTACGCAGAGTATTCAGACACAGCTCTTACTTTGGTCATACTCTCCACAGAATCACTGCCAGTGGGGGGGGCTCGCTCATCTGGTGGCCAGGCCTTGGGCCATGGGGCCCGGTTGGGCTCAGCCCCAATGAGTAATGAGTAACACCGTCTGGGTCCACCATATGCGGGGACTGTCATCAGGGTCAGGTGCATTGTGTGACAGGCGGCAGGCAGGGGCTGGGCCCCGGGTGTGCTGATCCCCGGCGTCGCGGAATGAAAACAGTTAGTTATCAATGAAGATTTGTAAGATGTTACAGTTTAAGGAACAAATCAGAGGGTGTGCAGTACCTCTGGACAGTCTTGTGTGGGACAGACTCTAGTCTCAGTCTGAATACCCTCTTTGCTGCAGGTATATGTCATGCAGGGATGGGCGGCATCCTTCCATCTGTCTCCCACCTACACACACAAAGAAACATATCACGACATGCTACACAGTATGATGATTCATTTCAATCAAACATTTATTTTTCCTGAGGGAGAAGACAAACAGATACTGTTATAAGATTAGACACAACATACCCTGTATGTTTTGTTATGATAACTGCATGTCTTCTCAACTGAAAAACAACACAATAAGTATTAATGTGTTAGCTGTATTAGTATTCATGTGAAGCAAGGAAGGTCTCTAAGAAAGTACTTAAATCATCATTTTAAAACATAATGACTTACCACAAATCTGATCACCACAGCAGGAAGTGTTTACCAGAACAGCACTGGGGCCACAGAGAGGCGCTGGATTAGGAGGTTTTGGAACACACACCTCTGTGCGAGTCTGGTTGTTACATGTACACAGGTCACAGCCAGACTGCCACACCTCACCAGGCTGGAAGACAGATACAGAAACACTTCCACAATCCAATTTGGGATATTCATGTTTATTCTGTATCCTGTTTTATTTTGTAGGTTAATTCCTCATGTGTCTGGTTTTGTTCCTGTCTTAGTATTTTCCCGCCTTTTTGATTGTCTGCCCCGCCCTGATTAGTTTCACCTGTCCCTCAGTAGTCCTGCAGTCTACTCACCTGTTCTCACCTTTCCAATAAGTGGGTGTTTCTCAAAGTCAAGGATCCCTCCTTGGTAGGACGAGTCCTTAAGCAGACGGGGGGGGGTATGTATCATGTATCAGTACTGTCAGAGTCACGTATTTCTGGATCATACTTATGAGTAAGTGGTGTAATGAAGTAAAGACAAAAGCTGAAAAAATGTTCTAAATGATCTTTTTCAGTATATACACAGACTCACACAGACTCACTCTTTGATTCCAAAGTGATCCATATTCTCTATTTGTGTCACCACACACTGCGCTACAATAATATGAACAGATCTGATCTGATGAGCCGCGCTGCTCTGAAACAACTGACCGCGCCAATTGTAGATTATACTGCTGTGTAATCCTCTGAAATATGTTCACCTCAAAACAAAAGAGTGATGCTTTGACCAGCAGGATATTCTAATGTCTATACTGTGGTCATTCTCACTGCGATTCCCCCAACACCAACTGAAGCTGACAGAATGAAAGCAATTATGTCCTTATCATGTCAATAGTGGGGGTAGAAGGGGAGGGGGACACTTCATGCTCCATCTCTGCTGGGAATGATTAATTAAAAAAATTTGTTTCGTCTAAATCACGTTACTTTCAAAATCTCATTATTCAGCAGTGGACCCATTGGAAAGTGTAAATTATGAGGTTTCTGTCAATATTTTTCTTTTCAAGTTTTTATGATAAAAACTCAGGTGGAGACATTAATCCTAATAAATGGCATATTTATATTAGTCCTGCGGAGCTCTGCTGGCACAAGTTTCATTTTAGAGGCCCCGCCCTCACTTCTAGCAAATCGTGTGCAAAGCATTGTGGGGATTTTATACCCGCTGAGGATCCACACATGCATCCTTGGAATTTCTCTGGAAGAAGGACTCTGTCCTCGGTGAAATTAGTAAGGATCCTTGACATTGGAACAGTCCTTCAACAGGATGACGTAGCCTCCTTCATATTCAGCCGTTTGAAGATCCTTCCTTGACTTTAAGAAACACCCAGTGTCTTATACTCCTACCTGCCCACTTCTTTGTTCTTGGTCAGGTCACCTGCCCGTGGTCCTTGTAGTTTCCCTGTGTTCTTGTTTTTTTTCTTGTTGATTGTTCCTGACTATTTGCCTGCCCGTCTGATGTTTACCTTGTCTACCTGTTAGCCTGCTAGCTTCCATTAAAATATCTTTTCTGCATCCTCCTGCCTGCTGTCCTGCATTTGGGTCCTCCATTACTGTGTTACTTCAGTCAACTGTGAGAGTCATCAGAGATCTGACTATTTTTGCACTGATGAGACAAAGATACTCACCAGTCTGGGCTCACCACGTGGTCCTATACAATCTGATTGACGAGACACAGACTCTACATTAACACAAATTATGACTACATACTATACATCTAGGTGAGTGTCAGCCTTATTGGCCATGTAACTTACAGGAACAGTCAGACACACAGATGTGTGAGTGATTTCCTGCCCTGTAGTGGCCGCTGGGACAATAACAGCCTGGCCTGCGGTTCTCCAGCGAGGCACCTTGATGAGGTATTCTGTATAGCCAAACCAGAAGAGAAACAGAAATGATGGAAATCTTGACAGGGGAAACATTTTGGATTTAATAAAGTGAGAAATACATTTCACAACAAGTAAAAGGATGTTATTTAGTAAAAATAAGCTTTACAAACCCTCCACAGCAGAACTCATCCACCTTGTCATGACATTCTCTGTAAACCAATCCTTCTGGACATGTCACAGCTGAAACATGAACAAGTACAATGATAAATATCAGTTTAAGAAGGAATTTAGCATTGACATTTTAATGGAAACAGCATTACAGTTGAGTCCATAATACACAGAAATGTGTGCAAATATTAAAGGGATAGTTCAGATATTTTTTTTATTTTATATTTGAGTAGTACTGTGCAAAAGTTTTAGGCAGGTGTAAAGAAATGCTGTAAAGTAAGAATGCTTAAAAATACAAAGTTTAATTGTTTATTTCTATTGATTTAAAAAATGCAAAGTGAGTGAATGGAAGAAAAATTTAAGTCAAATCAATATTTGGTGTGACCACCCTTTGCCTTCAAAAAAGCATCAATTCTTCTAAGTACACACAAAGTCAGGGATCCTGTAGAATCACAGTCAGGAATATGATTAACCAAATATACCAAACAGGTGCTAATGATCATCAATTTCATATGTAGGTTGAAAGACAATCACTAACTGAAACAGAAACAGTTGTGTAGGAGGCTTAAAAGTGGGTGAGGAACAGCCAAACTCTGCTACCAAGTTGAGGTTGTGGAGGACAGTTTGATGTCACAGGTCATACACCATAACAAGACTGAGCACAACAAGAAGACACAAGGAAGTTACACTGCATCAGCCAGGTCTCTCCCAGGCAAGGTCCATGTTGAAGGTCCACGGTGGGGCTTTTTTAAGTGGCGAAAATATCTTTTGCTGCTGCTCCCATCTACTGTAGGTCATACACTGACTTTGGATAAGTGCCTCATACAAGCCAACCTTAAAAGCTCTGAACTATCCCTTTAAGTCCCTTGTCTGACTTGCTTAACACAGTACAAGAAAAAGGACAAAAGATACGTACTACAGTGTCCATTGGTCAGTCCTCTCCAGTCAATACAGACACCAGCCTTCATGCATTCCTCAGCAGCTTGCTCTAGTGAGGAGCAAGGACCATTCCTGCATGAATCAAACTCACAGCTCCTCTTCGTCATTTCCAGATTCACGTTGCACTTTGCAAAGACTCTGAAGAAACAGTATATTTTTAGTTAAACAAACAGCCAGTGTTCCACATTATTAAAATAAAAATTAAAAAACAGTATAAAAAACAATTGACAGAGACTTATACATGGTTGCTAGGGTGGTGCTAGGTAGGATTGAGTACCGTTCATAATTGAACCAATACGGTACCGGTACCGGTATCTGGAATTCGGTACCGGTACCAAACGGTACCTTATTTCGGTACTTTTTAACCCTGTGGGCCCTAGGCCTTTTTGGGGTATTTCTACTGCCTTTACTTTTAAGCTCATATTACAGTCATTATAAAGGCTACATACACATGCTATATCTTGTTTTTTTTTTTCAGGACAATGTGGGCTAACCAGATTTGCCATCATTTCATGTCCTTCTATGTGCCTGTGTTTTATATTAATTTTTATATCAATGGAAAAAAAAAACAAATCTGTGTGCCTAAATTTTTACATTTTTACATGTATCTCAGCATAGCAAGTTGGAAAAAGACATATTCTACCATATATGAAGAGGGGAGACTCTCTGGAATCTGGCAATATAAGAACCATGATGCTGGGACATTCTGTCACTTCACAGTTGTCCAAAACATGTGGTTTGTGCCAGGCGGACACGTTTGCCAGTATTTTTTCATTATTGCAAGAAATTCCATTGACTCATTCACAAGTCAAAAATGTGTTTTATCTGAAAGAAACATACAATATTTACATCTAAGATCACAGAAAAATAGTCAACCAAGTGCAATGATGTCCTCCAAGATAATATTTGTTCTTCAGTTTCAGTTATATGTTGGGGAGACATTTTGGGGATTGGTGGGGGGGCACGTGTCCCCCTCAATGTATATGGTGACTACGGCCCTGTCAGCATGCATTAGGTTGCAGCTGTCTGGGTGCGCAAAGGTGAAGTGGCTGGTCTTGTCATACAAAGTTTGATGGAGTGTCAACTGGACAATATGGAAATATTTGCATCTTGAAAGCCGGACTACAAATGTGGATAGACAGAGAGAAACACACGCAAGCCTAAGACGTGGTAAGATACGATATTCCTCACTATATGAAGTGACTGATAACAAGATCTGTATAATGGATTGTAAAGAAATTCGTCAAGTTTTTATTTTGCAGACAATTGATCTGTATTTATAGCATGATGGGATGACAGCACAATGATGTGTGTGGTCCTGCGCTTTCATGTGATATGCGTGGCATTTCTGTGCGAGCCTGCGTTCGCGAGTAATCCATCCAACAGTAATGTGTGTGCAAAGCTGTATGAAAGCTCTGTTATACATCATTTTATTGTAATTTTTCGCTGTGAAAACATTGGATTACCGACAAGTGCTTGGCCTTGTCGGAAAGCTACAATTCTGCTGTTTCCGCTGATATGCGTGGCTTCTCGCTATGACGCACGGTCGTGGAGAAAATCCACAGAGAAGAACGGGTGTGAATTTGGACGCACTATGCATCGTTCAGGCCCATAGTCTAAATTTCTCAGTTTCAACATTTTATTGAGAACATTTAGGAACAGTGCTGCACGTTAACTTTTGTCTGCACATTGTTTTTGTCGCCATTGTTGCTGAGTCTGAGGTGCGAGTCATGAGCTCTCGCTCCGCCTCCACCTCAGGTACCGAAATTTGGTACCGTTTCATTTTAAGTGAATCGGTACTCGGTAGTACCGACGTGAATTGGTACCAAGTACAAAAAGTACCGAGTTTCGGTACCCAACCCTAGTGCTAGGTGGTTGCTTGGTGTGTGGCTAGGGTGTATGGGGTGACTCTGGGTGGCTGCTACTGTGTGTCTGCTTAAGTCACAAATGTAGTTTTTAAGTAAAGAAAAGCATTGCACCTCTCTTTTATGACATACAGTATAATCATAGACCACATTTACCAGCAAACACACACCCATTTCTACCTCCAATTTCTCCACAAGGTGTGTGTGTGTGTTAGCGTGTGGAACTTACGGGTGGTGTAGCAGCTCGCATAGTGCACTCGCAGGGCAAGGGGTGTAAGTGGGTGTGCTAGGGGGTGTGGGTGAGTAACAAGGTACGTCCCTTGGTGCAGAAGCACAGGCAGGCTTCAGTGGGTCGGCATACACCCAGTCATAGGCTGTCTTATCACAGCAGCTGTCATCCTCCATCTGCCCTCCTTTACGGATACATGACCCAACACCACATACACCTGGAGAGAAGATGGAGGGGTGAGCTCAGCGTAGACGATGTGCAATCTGATGTCTAACAAACATATGTATAAACATTTTAGTTGACATAAACAATCTGTGTCAGTTTTGATGGTTCTCTGGCTCCCACAGCTATAAATCATATACAGACCATAGACTGTATTAAACTAATGGACGTTGCCATTGTGACGTCCCATTTTGAAGCCTCGAGTTTAGCATTTATGTTGTTGCCATCTTGGATTTTTGGACCCAGAAGTGATCATATTTGGAAGAGAGGGTGGAGCTAACTCTAATGCTAGCTTGGTTGGCAAAGCACATTTAAAGCTATTGACTGCAGTAATGCTGCAAAAACTGAACACCTGACTCTTTAGAGGGGTTTTCTAGCACAACCAAATGCCAAACAATGCTTTTTTTTAAATGACCACAACCTTACAAACATCTTTCATTAACTGAAACACACTAAAACAGCAACAGCTATGGCTTTGCCTCAACTGTGTTAATCTGGGGTTACACCATGAGTGCGTTACTTTACCACACTTGTCACTGTGGTAGCGACTTGTCAATGGATGGCACTCCCCTGTCACTCAAAGCAGAGCTGCTTTAATTTAAGCCTTAATGACATTTAAACGGACAAGTTTCTCTACATTAAAATTCACTCCCTACAGCAGCCCCCCAGGATGTGCAGCAGGCTTTGAAACCAGTTTTCATAGTGGCCAAACAGAGTAATTACACCATCACATCATGCCTGCGGCCCAAAAAGACCCATTGATGTATATGGCGAAACGTCTGTAAATCATCATTTGTTAGCCTTCAAGCTAATATAGCAACATATATTTGCTGCTGTTGTAAGGTTGGCAGACAAGATCAAGCTTTTGCATTACCTCAAAATCCACTATACATAGACAAACACACACTGCTTAAATGGACATAAAGTACACACTTAACCATCACTTTCGTTTCATTACCCACCACATTGTCCCTGGGTGTTGCTGTGGAAGTGCTCCATAGCCAGACTGACCACCAGGGTATAAGACGGACTTAGGGAGACATAAGAGCGGATCTCCGGGAGGTAGATTGACACTATGTACCCCGTGGTCTCGAATCTCCACCCATGTTCCTCATATGGCGGCTCAATGGTCACATTGTTCAGAGTGGCCTAAAGTAGATTAGACAAGAATTAAACCAATTTTCTAATTCTTTCAATAGAGTACAGTACACTTAAATAAGTAGAACTTTGAAAACAAAATTCTACAATAAAATGATTATCAGCATCCTTGTAGCCAAATAGCCAATATAGTGTATAAGTTGGCATGGTCACATGACAGATAATAAATAAAACTGTATAATATCCTACCTGTATTGAAAACGGGGAATTTGGAATGACACTGAGCGTAGCTATACTGTCCTGATATTTCAGGATGATGCCTTTAGCACAGGAGCCTTCAAGGCCCGGCACACAGTAAAAATTGTCCACAGCAATTTTCAGATGATGACGTGGAGCCCTCTCCTCCACCAGGATGTAGGTGCAATCATCAAGGAAATCAAAGGTTGCACCTTGGAAAGAGATCTAGTGGGGGTCCCCATACAGATCACAGCGACCTAGAGAGGGGAAGAGGTGGGTAGATATGGACAGAAAACAGGAAATGTATTTCCTTAATTCAAGTTTTCAACAACTACTGGATGGATTTCCATAAAAAACACAACAGACCATAGACTGTATATGTAGACTAAGCAACCTTGATTTCACCCATTGGTTTGTAGACTACCGTTTTGGAGCCTGTTGCTATCTTTTTGTTTTTTTGAGCCATAAGTAACCATAATCTGACTGAGAACCCAAGATCCCTACCATGGTAATAACTTGTCAATCACAAGGTAGCCACGCATTAAAGGATAACCTGCTTTATCATTTATTTTACTCTAAATGGGCCCGTAATTCAAAAAATGCAGATCATGCTGTATTACAGAGACTTGAAACTAACAATTCAGACAATAAACTCATCAGTAAAATGATTACTGAGGTACTACATCAAGGGACAAGCAGATCATTTTCTCGTAGACTTCTATACAATCACCTTTGTGTAACCAGTGGAGTTGCACCCTGCTGGACATTAGAAAGAATGCAGGTTTAAGGCGCTCCACATTGGCTTCACCTTTTGGGATCTGGAGGTAACACCTTTCTACAGAACACAGACTATGTAATGAAGACGGAAGATATGACAGCTCCCAAAAAGTGAAGCCAAAACATCTTGAACTCCCCCTGGTGGCTGGCTGCAGACCCCACCTACTATGGCGACCATAGTAATAATTACCTGATACATGTTAAAATGTTAAGTTTGTCATTGTGAGCATGTTAGCGTGCTGATGTAAACATTTAGTTAAAAGCACCAATGCCCTTAAGTGTGTTGTGTTATAAGGACAGATAGGCAGCAATTGTGGGCCTAAGCTCAATTAAAAACCTGAATTTCTTCCGT